ATTAAGATCTTGTTAAATCAAGTTATTTGAAAATATGGCATCGAGATGTAAGGGTGCCTGAGACAATCTTTTCTTCTTTTTTTTTTTTTTTTTTTAGTAATATTCAGGAGTGAGAAAAAAAAGTCCTCAAGGCTTTTCCCTAATTTAGCTTGATTTGTATTTTTCCACTCATGTGTATCAGGTTGAAGGCGTAAATTCGGACGTGTCTGAAGTGACGGATGCTATGGTGAAAACATTTCAAAGCAACGTGGAAATGCTGTTAGACAGAATGCAGAGAATTTCTGGTCAAGGGAAGCATATCGCTATGGATGCTACAGCACAGGTCTTGTTGTCTACTCCTCATGTTGAGAATTGAGCCAGAGTTCATCCTGATGTCATCAGCAAGAAGTAGCTAGGCGGGGTGCCGGTCCATGCAGGGTTGCCTTCCCTTACTCTTCCCCCCTCTCTCTCTCTCTCTCTCTCCTCTCTCTCTCTCTCTCTCTCTCTCTCTCTCTCTCTCTCTCTCTCAGCATTACGTTAGTTCGTCACTTACAGTTTACCAGTTCCGATCCACACTCCTGGGCAACCTCACTGGGTTAAAAACTTGTCAACCTGAAAGTCAAGTAGGAGTGTTTCAAAAGTTCTTACAAACGCTTGTGCTTGTTGAAAAAGTTATTGCGTTTTGGACTTTTGAAATAAAAAAGATGCCTATTTATTTGTGGTGATGGGTGCTGGTGATGTCAGTTTCTAGTATCTTCTAGGATTAGTTGTACTTTGTCGGACTATTGCCTCAACAAAGGGGTATTTTCTTTTGTTTTTATTAGTCATTATTCCAAACTGTCAGCGCAATGCATCCCCAAATTTTGAGACTCATAGAAGAGCAAGAAGAGAAAAAAAGTAAGTAATTGGTTTTTTTGTTGCCTGAGCCCTCTTAACTGGTTGTTTTCTTGGTTCAGGGTCAACAGATATAAAGAAATACCGCCAGTTAAGTTGACTATTGGTGTCTGTCCATGTTTGGCAGTTTCTATCGACTAGATTTTGTCCCTTACTTTTTTCTCCATGTAATTCGTTTCATTCCTTTTGCTTTCAGCTAAATACGAGGCACTTCAAGTGAAACTTGGTCTTGTGCATGAAGCACGTGCATCCTTAGATGAGATGCGAGAGCAACACCGTGAGAAAGTTCGTCAGCAGGAACTCGAACAAGATATGCTTCGACGGATGCAAATTGAACAAAAGCTGGAGCTGATGCGGCAGCAGAAGGCTGAGTACTTGGCTTACCAACAACGTTTACAGGCCGAGAGACAAGCAGTCATTGAACAACAACAACAGCAACAACAGAGATTACAATATCAAAGACAGATGCAGCCATCGCAGCAGCAGCAGCAAAGCCCATATGCCGGAGTGCAGTATCCATCCACAGGGGAATCCAGTCCGTATTCTTCCATGAATTACGCTCCAATGACTGCAGCTGGTACACAACCTTACAATCCTCAGAATCCACTCGCGGGCTACACCCCTGCTGTCCCTCCTGGATATCAGGCCCCTGATGCCCCACCACCGTCTCAGTATTCTGCTCGACCAACAGGAGAGGGTTATGTACCCACCACACGGGCGGACTATATTTCATACAGGAACGAAGTGCCAGCCCCTCAAACAGAGTTCCAACCCCAGCCAAGTTCGCTAGAGTATCAGCCACCATCATATGCATCTCAAGTTCCACCAGAGTCTGGTCCATCATCTCTTCAGCCTTATAGTCTTGGGGGACCCCTCCCCGTTCCAACTGCCCCTGCGCAAGTACTTCCCCAAGCACCTCCTCCTCAGTATGCTCAGGTTAGCTCCCAGCAGCCTGGCCCTCCACCTCTATATGGACAGTCAGTTGGTCAGCAGCCGCCAACACAATCTGCGCTACAGAATCAGCTCCCAGCTACAACACTTCCAGGCCCCACAGGGAAACAACCCCAGTATAACCAGATGCCGCCACCACAGACCCAATCCCAATACCCACAACATCCAAATTTTTCCAACCCAACGGAGGCGCCACTGGCACCAGAGACTGCCCCACCCCAGTACCCTCAACCCCAAACCAGGCTCCACAGACTAAAACACAGTCATACCATGTTCCTCAGGGGAATGGCTTTCCTCCGGCAATGGACGCCTCCAGAGGATCATCTCAGATGCAGTTCAATTCTTTACCAACTCAACCACAACTCAACATGGTTCCACCCAGTGGTCCTCCTTCGTTTCAACAAGGACCTCCTTCGTTGCAACAAGGAGCCCCGGTGCAGCAAGTTCACCCGATGCAGCAAGGTCACCCAATGCAGCAAGGCCATCCCATGCAACAGGGCCCTCCCCTTCAACAGGGCCCTCCAGGGCAGCAGGCTTATGAACCACAACAACAGCCCCAACAATTTGCACCTCAGCAAGGGTACCAACCGGGTCCTGGTCAACCACCGCCACAGCAATTTGGATCAGCACCGCCACCCCAAGGCCCACCTCCCCAGAGGCAGTTGACGGATCTAGAGTTAATATCTTTTGATTAAAGGAAACCGTGGATTTTACATGTATAAATAAAATTTCGAATTTCTTTTCTTGTGTTAACGTTTGTTCAATAACGTAACCGGTAAATGGTCAGGAGATTGTAATTTTTAACCGATATAATTTCTGTCGGGTGGAAATGTAAAAAGTGACAAATGAAGCGACAGTATGGATGGTTTTGTATATTTGTGTTTGTTTTTGCATATGTTTGTGAATATCTTTTAATTAACCACAGTTTACAACTGGAGAAATATTTGTTGCGGGCTTGATAGGTCTTATTAAGTATTATTCAGAAGTAGTTTGCCAGGTTCTACTCGAAAATCAAGATGGCCTGTGCCAGCACCTCGCCATAATAGTGAATTGAACTGTTGATAATATATTCTATTGTCACAAGTTATTAACTTTCTTTTTCTTTTTCATAATTTGTATTTTAAAGTGGAATAAATCGTAAATATAACAAAATAAAACGAAATCAGAATACCTCTCAGCTTTCTTTGGATTTTCTTAACTGATGTTTTTGTGGTTTCATGCTTCGTGAACACATGACATCTTTTTTAATTGATCTGTTAATAGAAATCAAATTACAGTGTCGGATATGCTAATATTCTACTCTCTTAAACTCTTGTCTGATTAGAGACTGAAGCTTCCGTGTTTTAGTAGTCACGAAAAAGTGATTATCAAGGTATTCTCGAAAACTCAGTTCGAAAGACCGCATAAACTTGGTAGTTCTTGGTACACCGAGAGATTTTGGTTTGATCTCAAGAAAATTGACGTAGATAGTCGAGAAAGCTTTACGAATCAAGGTTAGTGTCTGCTAACACCGGCACGAAATAACGGAAGATCACTTAGACGAAAGAAAAAAGCAGAAATACTGTAAAGCACAAATCTCGCTGCTCGAACAATTTTTTTATATATATCTTTATTCCCTATCCGATCACTAACCAATATTGCGAACTTTAAATCCTACTGTAACGCAATGGGGCACTCAAACAGTTTAATTTCATTACTAAAGTTTCCCTGCTGGCTGAAAATAACGTCGCAACGATACAGCTTTATAGAGGGAATAGCATCAAACAAGTGAAGAGTTATTTCGTTATTCATCAATGTAGTAGTTTTCATGCTAATGGCTACCCTAATGGTCAGTCCAAGTTTGCTTTATTGTCACTTCGCTCTATCGTCGTTTCATTCCACAAAAGGAGCCATCTCGTTCCACGTTACGAGACAGATTGTCCAACGAATAAGTGAAACCTTGCTATCTATACTAAGTAAAGAACAACTTCATCCGTGCTGAAACTATAAAGAAAAGTGTTTAAAAGTTTACCATGATCGCCAATATCTTTGGTCTCTAGTTGTATGCGACTTGCAAGTTTTAAACGCGTCGGCACTATTTGTACTGAATGTAACGCTCCTATGTTTCATGAAATGTCAGATTATTTAGTAATCAAGCCCCTCGTGACCCATTAACAACAAGTGATACATTTGTGAAACTTCAAAGCCTGCCTGTTTATTGAAATCACACTTAGCACTTAACAGCAAGGATATATGATCATTATCATAGCAACCATTTTTATGACCCTTACGTATCATTTTCTAACGGTATAATAAGCAATAATATGGTAAAAAGTAAAAAAACAAAAAGAACCAAAACAAAAAAACAAAAAACAAAAAACACAGGTGTCGGAGCAAAAACCGACCTCTGAAAAATGTCTACAGTTGTAAAACACTTTTGTCTCTCAGCTTTGGCTTCGTGAGACTATCAGCTACACTGTGTATACTTCAACTACAATGCTTATTGAAAAAACAATATCATGCATGGGAAATGTTGAAACTTTATTGTCCCTATACTTAATTTTTAACTTGCACTAAGCCTTCCGGTGTCTACTGAAATAAAATAAGAGCAAAGCTAAAACACTGAGAACATATCTCATTAAAGGCTGGCTGACAAACCACTGCAGGTTCAATAACACACATATTGCGAGCAAAGCACATAGTAAATGATACGCCTTAAGTAACATCTCCACCAAGAGCAAACCCGGATCGTAATGGAAACACGCCCAGATATCTTGATTTGTCTTCTCCAGTATCCTCCTCTATAAGAACACCAATACTTGTCCCAGTAGGTGACGGTGCCTTTTCCACCTGCGCACAGTCTATTGGGATGAATTGATGGATATGATCTCGCATGTCGACGACTGCGCTGTTGCGTTCCTGTTGTAAAAAGAAAAGACACAACTGCATTAAATGTGTCACAGCAATTTGAAGTTTGCAAAACAAAAGCAATTAATTTCCAGCAGGAACTTATGACATCGAGATATTTTAGAAATTTTTATCACGTTCAAGATTCACCAGGTGTCTATATATTTTTCATTCTTTATTTCTTTCACGGAACAGCTTGGTATGAGTTTTTTTTTATAAATTAATAAAAGCCATAAGGAAAGCGCGAACACAATTTAGCCTTCTGGTGTTTTCGGTAGACGCATTTCAAACTTCTCTGTCCTTAACTTACCTTCTGTCTCTACCCTTGTAGAAGTCAACGATACGTCCACTGTTTTCACCTGATATATCGGGTATTGTGGACAGAAGTTTGCCAACTCCTCGCTCAGTTCAGATCGGTCCACCATCTCATTGTCCACTGTCCACTTGCTCTCAATAATATTTGCCTTTTCCTTGTCCATTTCCTGCAAAATAGCATGGCTGGATGGTTTTAGAATTTTCCAGCAATCCAAGATATATACAAGAGAGAAATCATGCGTATCGCATACTGTTCACCATTGTACTATTCAGTCAGCCGCCAGGACAAAACTAAAACCCATATCCTCATTTTCTCTTTCGAATTCACTTCCGGTTTGGGTAAAAATCGATATGAGTTCCGGATCAATTTTTTAAAACGCAGTACAGAAAAATTGTTCACATTTAAGTGATAGCATTCGAAATGATAATTCTATAGAGAAATAGTTCGCTATTTAAGAATTAATTAGGTTTCTGCATTCACAAAAGAAGACAGAAGTTGACAGAGTGAGAGTGTCTTATTAAAAAATTTAGGATCAAGGAATGTTGTGGCCGTTTTATTTCATTACTACCTAATAACATTTCGCAAATTTCCCGCGGTCAACGGAAAGTCGCCTGAAGTCGATTGTCTGAGAAAAAGGAACACGTCCTTACCTTTGTCTGATTAAGATCACTCTCGAGTTTTGCTGGTGTCGGCACCTCTTCTGACAGAGGCATAAGGTAGCATATTTTTTTTTCCGGCAACAGCATCATAGTCATGTTCTGTTTTACGAGAAAAGAAGAATTTTTCAACAATTTAAGCGCTACTGAAGCACTGGTATCTTATGTTCACGGAAACATAAATTTGTAAGCATAATGAACATATCCCCTAGACTGGTTTAGTAAAAGGAAGCTGATCATGTTCAGCGTTGTCCCAGTTGACATGAAGAATTATAATCAAGACTTTTTAAGCTTGTAAAACGATAAATAGATTGTGCTTTATGAGGAATGAATGGGTCTTTTACAGTATTTAACACGAAAGCATAGTTTAAAAAAATGGTGTCATAGTTGCCAGTACATCTTTTGCATTTATCTAACAAAATATCAAGCCGTTTGTCTAGGTTTGATGGAAGATTAGATAAAACCAACTGCATTTACAGCCATTGACGGAAAAACGAATTGACTTACCGTCTTAAAGTCGTGCAAAATATTGCTTTCGTCCTCGTCATTATGAGCAGGAACTTTAAAAAGTTCAGTTTGCTTCTCTGTGTCCACCTCGATTGTCTCGTTGTACTCTGTCCCAGTCTCGCTAATTTGAACTTTATAATCCACAACCTATGACAGTAAATGCTCAAACAAGTACTCTAATTGGAGTTTTTAATTATTTAGAACGCTACACTGATGTTTGGAGTTACACAGGTTACTCGAGGAAGTCTTAAAACTATTCATATAAATGGAACGTGAAAAGTACGGATAGAATGTGGAGCCAGAATTTCTATTATCGCGATAACTCGAGGCTAGATATATGACAAAAAAAAGACATATCCTCTATCTAGAGCAAGCGAAAAGAATGGCATTTCCTGTGAACGATACATTTAAGCTTTTTGTATTTATTAGATCTTTGTTAATCGTTACAATGAAATAAAACCTACATCGGAGATATAAATATTTGCAGTTGAAATAAGTGTCCCGTTCGAAGTAGCGTCTGCCTCATGACACGGAAAGACGATAAATGCCTGGGGGCACTAACCCGAACTTTTGAAAGATGTAGTGAATGACGAGACGAGTTCACTTTTTTATTGGCATACTGTTTGAAACTTCAGTGTGCACTGCACACTTCACTTCAGTTCCATTATAGTGAAGAAAATGTATCGGAGTTTACTTGTGCCAAAAACAGAGAGAGTGGAAACAATCGATGGAACAGAAAGTGAAAAAGTCATGTTTTTCGATGAATACAAAAAAGCATTAACTCCGGATCATTTGTCGCTGTTTATTGGACAAAGAGGAAAATAATTTACCTTCTTAGTAGAAGACCGTGCAGAACGGACGGGATTCGCCAATGTCAAGTTTGCTGTGGCGACAAACAGCAAGAATACGAGGGTTGGCTTCTACAAGGAAAAACAACAATAGAAGGGAAGAAGACATGACGACTAAATTGGTACTTTGATGAAGTAGCAACCAGTGCTTGTTAGTAACAATCAATTTGCATTTGTGAAACAACTGGAATTTTAGAGTTAACCCAGTTAAGCATTTTACTTGATGAAAGCTGTTGCCACTGCAAAACTTCTGGGATCTGCGAATAATTCAAATCTTTCTGGAATTATAATTTAGCTAAAAGATATGAAAGTAACCACCAAAAAAGATAAAGGTGAAGAAAAGATCGGCAAGTTATTGAAAAAAGTAAGCGGATGAATTGTGTAATTATTAGAGCAGTTCAAAAACTTATGTGGAATATTCTTGTGGTGATCGACCATCGCCAAGTTCTGTTTACTTACATTCAGCATAGTAATCTTCTTCTGGCCTCAACTTTGTTTGGATTTCTTCTTGCTCTTGTTCTTCCTGATGTTGTTCTTCACCCAATGACTGCGACTGATGGACTCTGTAACTTAGCTGGGCTTGGCCTCCTTTTATGTGGTGTTCAGGGCTCTGTTTATGCATTATTAATGTGTAAAAGGAGCACAGCGCTTCAGCGAGAGCTACAGTGCATTCTTTGTGGTTAAATCTTTTCTTAGAAATACCGATTAAAGCAGCTTTTGTGAAGAATACAATTTTAAACCGTGTGTAACAAAATTAAGGAACTTTCAAACATAATTACGCTTTTGTGTGAATGAGATATAAGTTCAGTCATTTTATTCCGCGATTTCGGAATAGTTTGCGGTTGTTACCAATGTTTTTGTGTGAGCCAACACCTTTTATGACAAAACTTGGTGCTTTTACAGGGATATGTTTTTTCAACTTCGAATTCCCTATTTTCATTTTCATTCGAGCTAATTGCATTCGTTTCAGTGAAAGATTATAGATTTTTCTTGGAATCCCACATTTCAGGTAACACGCGCACTGGCAAGTGTCAGCAAAATCGCACGTCTAAATTTTTCTTGGATCTATATTTTTCATTCATATTTCTTAGAAAATTCATTCATCCTTGACCAGTTTATATGTGTTTGTTCTTCCTTGTAAACTTGATAATGAGGCTCTTCAATCAGCTTTATTCATTCCTTCACAAGACGCTAAAAAAACTCCTTTTAAACAGAAACTGGAACATCAAAATTGTTCAATGAATGGATTACAACATCTACTCACCTAACGTTTGCAACATCTACACACCCAATTCTCGTGGGACTTCTATTCTTAACTTCCTTGTTCCTTCTTTAACTATCTTGCCACACTAACTGATATTGCTTCAGGCAAAAAGGTGGAATTTTTTCAGTGTTGATATTTGGCCTTTGACACTTTGTTAAAACCTCAAATTACTCCGCGTGCAGGATGTGGTGAAATCAAACATCTCATTATCTGTGCTCAGCAGCCATAACATCTCCATGGGTTTTGTGTTTGTAACAGCTTTCTTTTGGTTTTAAATGTTTCTAAAATATCTTGCTGCAAAGTGGAACTTATGTTAATTTCTGTTGTCTCCAGAAAGACCCTTTAACACCCATCTTCGACTCGTTTTTAATTCAGTTTCGTTAATGGGTTTAATGGGTTTATTTTGGCATTCAAATGCTAATGATCGATAATGATTCCAAAACTTTTCAAATTCAAGTGTCATTCAAGAATTTTCTTCGGCGTTTCAGCAATCACGGAACACTGATGTCTGAGGTATTCTCTGACAATTAGTTTTCAAAATTAAGTCTATATGAAACTGATAATTCAAAATACGTCAGCACCATGAGGAATGATTGGTTACCAAACAAATAAAGAATAACAAGGAAGTTTTAAGATCCAAGGTAAGTGTCTCCTAAAATTGGGAAGAAAGTGTGAGAGATACACAACACAGCAAAGCAGAAATAATATTAATATTGCAAAAGTAAACTGCTTTAACAATTCTCAGTGTCTTTCAATTAATTTGTACAAGTCTTGATGTATACTTCAAGCCTAAAAGCCTGCAACATTGTATCCCCCTAGAAAATGACGAAATACTATCAAGTTCCTTGCTCGCTGAAAGCATGTCAAATATTACGCAACATATCGCGAGAATGACGGCGGCCATTTTAACTTTTTGCTAAGCAATAGTTATGGGTGCGCGCAACACTGCAAATGTTTTGCAGGGAAAGACTGATTCACTGTCTAGTTGTGTTAAGACTTACTTCTGTTCTTCTGAAGAAAACATAATAATTTTTCATTTTCCGTGGAAGAACTCTAACTTGTCATTTTTCGCAAAAGTGATTGGAATTTCCAATATGTTCTGTTTTTAAATCATTGTGCTCATTTTAAGAATAGAATGAAATGAAGTGGTGGCTTAGTGTCACCTTTATCCGACCGCTGTTTGTGTTTTGTACTTTAGAGTTGATGAACAGTTATCTGTACTTTAAAAGTTTTCTGGCAATCTGCTTCTTAAGATCGAAGGTTATAAGAGACGAATATTTCTCGCATGAGAAAGTATGTCAATGTTTTCTCTGGGCTCCATGCATATTCTGGGGAGCTTTTTTTTTTCAACAGGCCTCATAATTTTTATAATCAGAAATACACACTGTCTAGGTTCTTTTTCTACTCGTCGTTTAATATTTAGTATGATTATTTTATGTCTTTCAAGTGAGTCGATGTAAGTCAGCAACGACGGCATTTCGCAAACATTTGCAGTGTATGACAGCATTTATTTTCTTTACTTATGCTTGTGAAAGGAATCAAGCATGTTTGGTAATCTTTCCAGAATATTTTGCTGATTGGTAAACTCGTCTTTGATTAACATGGAAATTGCGGTATCAAAATGGTTGGTTGTAAATTGAATCTACAATAGGAGTTTTGTTGTTACCCAGGTTCGGTTACGCCTCATTCACAGGCCCCACGGACGTGGGCACTTTTCAAACAGTTTATTCCTACTTTACAGTGTTTCTACTTTATCTCTATCGTTCTTCATGATTTTCTTCCCGCTTTAGAGGACAATAACCTTGAATCATTACTTCCTTGTCAGTCCTAACTTATTTGATAATAAAACACCTCTTTATTTCCGTAGTTTAAAATTGAATTAAGTTTTGGATACAAACGTAAGGCAAACCTTGAATACCTACTTTTTCGCGATTGATGAAACACAGTTGTGAAAGTTTATGACCACAAATGAACTTATTCCATAGCCAGGTGGGCATTGATATCTAAAGAGTAAACAATCAAATGCAAAGATACATGCTAATTGAGCAGAAACCCATTTACTGATGAAGATAAGATCAAAGGCGCCAAGCATGTGTTCCTAGTGGGTCAAAGCTTTTTAAAACCAAACACAAAATTGATGGAATTCTCGCGTTGCATCCTAAAATTCCACAATCACATTGACAAACATGTAGGAACTCATGAAAACTGTTACATCCCCCGAGATGTTCTCAATGCAAGCCACACTCACTAAGTAGAGATATTCAAAATGAAACTTTCAGTGGTTAGGATTTTCTTTTTGAGTTGTAAGCATTTGAAAGGAAACAATATGGAGAGACAAAGTTTCAAAGACTGAGTAAAACTATGAGAAAAGACACCTGTTGGCTGAAACAGGTAGCGATTAGTGTAATTACATAAAAACAAGGAAGTTAAGCATAGACTGTCCCCTGGGATAAAGTGTGTTTATGTTGGAAACAGTTCAGTGCAGTGCATTCAGTTCACTATATCGACACTCCAGTTTCCGTCGAGAAGGAGTTTTCTAGCATAACTTCAAGATGTAATTAAATTTGAACGAAACCTCCAAATTGTCGAAATTCAGTAGTGGGTTAAACAGCAGAACGATAAAAAAACCTGTCAAGGGCGACTGAATATTCCAAGATATATGAATTAAATTTACATGATTTCATGTCCAAGAATAACCATTGAATTTCCCGTTTCCCTCATGCTGAAGCGAATTAGAGCAACTCCTACTTCCCGGTTTAGAATCACGTGTTTTGTGCGATAGAATGTGAATGATGCACTAACATGAGATGCCAGAAACAACTGTAAACAATTACCGAAGTCACAAAACAGTATTTGTTAAATTAGTGAGATGTGGTCTCGGCGCCGTTGTGGCGTTGCTCATATTTCGAATTCGATAGACACCGTTTTACTGAAAGTAACAATTTTGAATTGAGAGAACTTCACCGTTTCCCATGCATGAGATCGTATTTTCAATTAGCAATGTAATTGAAATCTGTACTGACTGTAGCTGATAGTATCAGGAGTCTTAGGAAGCCAAGGCTGAGAAGCAAAAATATTTTAGCACTGCAGACATTTAGTCCAGAGGTTGGTTTTTATTTTAAGTCCTTTTGTTTTTAATATCATTTTTTTTTACAAAAATTTTGCTTATTACAGCAACTACATCGTTAGAAATGATACGTAATGTCACGTAATGTCATGTTAAGGGTTTTTATACTAATGATTTCATATCTTTGTTTTTAATATTGCTGAGTGTGATTTCAATAAAAAGCAAGCTTTTAAGTTTCACAAAGGTATCACTTGCTGTTGTTATGGAGTAATGAGGGGGCTTGATACCACCCTTGACTTAATCTGCATTTTGCTGAAACGTTTTCCTCTATTTTCATATCAGAGGAAGGTCCCTTTAACTTTTGATTGGTAAGGAGGTTTCATTTCTTCGTAGAGTGATCTCGCTCGTAACGTGAACCAAAATGACTCTTTGTGAAAAGAGAAATCATGTTATTACTTGTTAGTAATGTACATGAAAAAAGCATCACAGAAAGTCGAGACAAACAAAATTTTGACAGCGCGAGTATTATTGGTTTAGCTTTCCCGAAAGTCTCATTGTCTTGGAATCACTGAGAAGTTCAGAAAAAAGAGCTTCAAAAATATCAGCCAACAGTCACATCACCAATCTTCGCCACTTTCTGATCACACTGAGAACCTGGACATAGATGGAGATAGATAGAGTGATTATGAAAATATTCAAATCTGAAGCCTCCTAAGGCTGAATAGGCCATTTTACAGTTGT